AGAAGAGACACTGAGAGGGACCTCAGGAATGGATTCAAGTCCATGAAAGGGAAATGCAATAATTTCCAGAGAATGCAGTGCTGAGGATAAGAATAGTGTTAGCTGCACCAAACTGCAGATTTGGGCTACAGTGCATGGTTAGAGCTCCAGGCTCCATACCTGAATGCACAGGTTGGAGATCAAACAGAGGAATGTTTCCTGAGCATAGTTATCAGATTTGGCTCTGTGCAATACATGGCTGAAAAGAAGTGTCACACTGAAAGCACTGGAGGGCTGGATGCTGTTATCTCCCCAGCTGCAGAGACAAGAAGCAGCACCTGCTGCCTTAGAAGTGATTTCTATAAGCAAGCACATGTTTTATCAGGCTGAGGGGATTTTCCAGTCAGCCTCCTGGAGCTGTTCCACTTCACCCCAAATAACTACAGTTTGGGAACAACTCGCTGGCTGAAGCTCTTTGCTGTTCAGTGGCCAGAGAAAAAGGAATGATTCTTCTCTGCTCCAGCAATAACTTGTTTTCATATCATTAAAATATTCCTCAGAGCAGGGACAGAACCTGAGATTTCATCCATCCTGAACAACTGGTGAGGAATATTTCCTGAAAAAATTATGGAGACAAAAATTTGGTATCATTTTCTAAGGGTTTTGATGATTTTCCCAAATTAAGCAAGCATAGGAAAATATTGGAAATAATACACCGATCACCAAAAACTGTTGAAAAAATCTCTATGTACACAGGTCACACCGATCACCAAAAACTGTTGAAAAATCTCTATGTACATAGGTACAACTGGATTACATAGATATGAAAACATCCAGCCTATCTCTGCACCATCAAAATTGTGATATCAGAGGTATTTTACCTAGAAAAATACCTGCAATAATTCTACGTGTGAGTTATGCATGGACACAATTCCCCTTAACTGACCAAGCATTAACAGTAAATTATTTAATATCCTTGTGGATTTGGAGAATTTTAGGCCCAATTTAAGAACCAATTATTGTCACTAGGTG